CCAAGAAATGGTAGGTGTCGTATATAAGGAAGTACGACACCGGTGTCGTATAGTCTATAACACTACCGTTTCCCGAACCGTTTTTTTGTTGGTTCCACCGCACTGATGCGCAGCGCGCAGAACCGGGGTCTTTCTGAACACACACCGNGTACGACACCGGTGTCGTATAGTCTATAACACTACCGTTTCCCGAACCGTTTTTTTGTTGGTTCCACCGCACTGATGCGCAGCGCGCAGAACCGGGGTCTTTCTGAACACACACCGGCAAGGTGCAGCCCACAGCAGCAGACCGCGCCCGATCTCACCACCCCAACTTTGTAGCTCCGGTCAAACACCTTCCCAACTGCTGTTGAGCCATGTCCGCTGCTGGGAGTGCCTCTCAAGGGACGAAACGCAAGAATTTCAACGTTTTGGAGAGAGAAGAGGTGATTCGCCACCTTCTCGCCGGGGTTAGGGTTAGAAGAGGTGTTTTCGTCAACCCGGGGATGAATATCAACTGTCCCCTCCCCTTGCAAGAGGCGGATGCTTTTTTGTTAATCCAATGTTATGCGCAACTGAAGATCTTCGAAGTGCTCTTATCAAACTGCACCGGCGGTCTGTTGTCCCTTCTGGGTACAACCACGGCAGATTTCCATTTTCCCGATCAGGGGATTTCACCGCACAATCCCCCCCCCATCGAGCGTTTTTTTTTTTCTCTCTCTCTCCAATGCGATATCCTATCGTATGCCAAAGATATCCGAGGTCCACCTTGCCCAAACGGCACGTTTCTGCCAATAACCCTCAAACCGCCCTTATATTATGAATTTTCCAAACCTTCCAAACCGCCCTTATATTTAGAATCGGAGGAAGTATGCAGATTCTATACTCAAATGAATGCTCAAATCCTAGTCTAAAGCATAATTAAGATTTTAGCTGATGATTTATGATCATGAATCGAAGATATGACTCTTCACAAAACATCCAAAAGGAGGGTGAGTTGTAGAAATATCCCGAATCAGTCCCCCACACCATCATTGAGATGAAGAATGCGAACGGTCACGAGACGGAACATCGACATCTCAATGACAACGCCTGAACGGATAAAGCTACGAAGAATATATATTGCGGCAGAGCACGCTATCATCCTGAACAGACGACGACAGGGAAAAAAAATCAATATCCAGACGCCACACACCACTCTTTTACGCGCGCCCGCGCGTATCACCGCTGGAGGAATGAGGGTGACTACCCGAGCGAGTCCAAAATATGGTGACGAATCTCAAAACCCAAACAAATTTCCGAACGAATACGGCCTTTGATACTGGACGCGACGCAAAGGGGAAACTCAACGCAATCTAGGACGTTAACGAAGGGCAGGAGAAAAGAAAGACAGGCAAAGGCACGGAGAACGATGGCCAGCGTGCCAGGGTACCCAACTCGTACAAGGAGACGGCAGGGGCAAGACCTATTGAGAACCAAGGATGCATAGCACAAGCGATTAATGCAAGAGAGGCGGTCGACGAACTGTGCCATGGCTCGCTGGCGGTACGCATCATTCAAAGACATAAAACACAGAAAGTCGTAGAGATTCACACAACAAGACGACGACTCAGGGGCGCTACTGTGATGAAGGCGTCGCCCGAAGGTGGCGATGATGGAGACGAAGCAGAACGAAGTGTGGGTGACGACG